CAGACATCAGTGCGCAGGTGCAACAGTACCAGCAGTTCCTGGGTGAGTGCCAGCTGGCGGTGCCGTGCTGGGACAGCTCTCAGGAGAGGCGGGAAGTATCTGAGGGAGCTGGACAGGAGAGCACTGTCCAAGGAAAGGGCATTTCTGCCTCCTGGAGCTCACCTGCCTGTGGCCCATAGGTGCCTGGGGCCCTGAGGGAGGGATGGGAGGAGACACTGGAGTAGAACCCAGCGTGTGGGGAGACTCCAGGGCTAGGCCCACCTCAAGGTGCACAGTGTCCCTGAGGCTCCTAGGCCTTGGGGGCAAAGGTGCCTGTACCGACTGCCCCACTTCCCCAGGGCTGGTCCAGGGCCCTAATGTAGCAGGTGAGCCAGGCTGGTATTTTTTTGGAGGGTTTTTTTGTTTTTTTTTTTTTTGGTCTTTTTGAGACAGGGTCTCGCTATGCAGTTCGGGCTGGCCTTGAGCTAACTTTGTAGCCCAAGCTGGTCTTGAACTCTCAATGATCCTGCTGCCTCAGCCTCCCGAGTGCTGGGATTACAGGCGTGCACAAGCACGCCCGGTTAGGCTGGTATCCTGTATGCCGGGGGTCATGGGTCCTCCCTGGGCCTCGTCATCCCCTCCACACATGGTAGACTTCTGCTGGGTGGGATCCCAGAGGGAGAAGGTTCATCAAGCAGGTCACGGTGCCCTTGACCCCCAGATGCTTCCCGGAGCCTCCCTGACTTCATGGAGCTCGACCTCCAGGGCAAAGTGCTACCTGAGGGAGTTGGACCCGGGGACCTCAAGGCTTTCCAGGTCCTATACCGGGAACACTGTGAGGTAGGATGGGCAGGTGTCCCGGGGAGTGGGCAGCAGGACTTGGCCCTGCTGGGGGAGCCCTGGCGGCTGCCCCTTGGCCCTGAGCGCATGGCCTCCCCTCTAGGCCATCGTGGATGTCATGGTGAACCTGCAGTTCACACTGGTGGAGACGCTGTGGAAGACCTTCTGGAGGTACAACCACAGCCAGCCCAGTGAGGCGCCGCCGCTGGCCGTGTGAGTGCACAGGGTGCCTGCCCGCCCTGGCTGTCCATGGGGCCACGTGCCCTTGCGCTTGAGTGTGCCTGTGTATCCACTGATGCTGAGAGCGCTGAGCCCGCCGTAGAGGGGTGGTGCAGGCCCCCGCCTGAGCCCTGCGGCCTCGGGCCCATGGGAGGTGGGGACAGCAGCCTGACTCCTGGGTGGCAGCATGTGTGGGTGGCTGTGCCCTTCTGACCCCGGGTGCAGGACCTTGGAGCCCCCGTGTGACTGTGGGGTTTGGGACGTGCTCCCAGGCACGACGAGGCCGAGAAGCGGCTGCCCAAGGCCAGCCTGGTGCTCCTTTCCAAGTTTGAGCCCGTGCTCCAGTGGACCAAGCACTGTGACAACGTGTTATACCAGGGCCTGGTGGAGATCCTCATCCCTGACGTGCTTCGGCCCATCCCCAGTGAGTGCTCGGCCACCCCTCCGCCCCCATGTACCACCACCCGCCCTGACCGCCCCTGCCGCCCGCAGGTGCCTTGACCCAAGCGATCCGGAACTTCGCCAAGAGCCTGGAGAGCTGGCTCACCCACGCCATGATGAACATCCCCGAGGAGATGGTGCGAGTGAAGGTGAGGCGAGAGGGCGGCACCTCCCAAGTGTCCTGGGTGACAGGCATGTGCCTGGGGGGCAGGGCTGCAGCGCCACAGAGAGGGCTCTGATGCTGTCTTGCAGAGCAGATTCCTTGGTACCCATTTCTGAAATGCAACCCTATGCCACCCTGCATTGCCTCTGTAGGTACTCAGCAATAGATAAAACTTGTGAACAAGGTGACATTTATAATGATTCCAGGACCTTGTGTATGCTAGGCAAACACTACCCCTGGGTTGCGCCCCCAAGCCCCTAGCCCAAAATGGGTATCTTAAGAGTCACCCCTAGTTGCGCAGGACACAGGGCAGGTGGGTGAAGGAGAGAAGTTGGTAGAGAAGGACTAACTAGACTAGCAGATTCATTTGTTCATTCAATACATGTTTATTGAGCACCTACTGAGTGCTCAGTGTGGCTGTCAGTGCTGGGAGGACAGTAACAAACCAGAGGAACAAAATCCCTGCCCTCTTGCATCTTACACTGAGGGGTGCAGTCATGGAAGCAATAGAGAAGTTCATCAAAGAAGTGCCCTCCTTATGTTGTTCTTTCATTAAAAGTAGTAATAGTGCCAGGCAGGTGTGGTGGCACACACCTGTCATCCCAGTACTCTGGGAAGCTGAGGCAGAAGGAACCAAGTTCCAGCCCAGCCTGGGCAATGTACCTCCTTAGGGAGACCCTGTCTTTAAAAAATAGTGAAATAAAATGGGAAATAAAAGCGGGGAATGTAGTTCAGCCCAGAGTCCCTACGTTCAATCCCAATGATCAGAAAATTGTGGGCAGGGTATGATCAGTGGTAGAGCCCCTGGCTAGCATGCTCGTGGCTCTGAGTTCCGTCCCTGGCTCCACAGAAACAGCAGTAGTGCCGGTCAGTGCGTAGTAAATCGTTTTGACACACCCGTTAAATGTACACCCAGCATCTGACAAACCCAACCCCTTGGCCTCCCAAGCAGTGCAGCAAGGCACAACCTTCCGGTTTTAAGGAAAGGGACCTGGAGGCTTTGAGGGGGTTGCAGTGGGCGAGGCCGGGCCTGGGTGGGTGATTCCACCCCACAGCCTCGGTCCCGTGCAGGTGGCAGCAGCGGGCGCCTTTGCGCAGACCCTGCGGCGCTACACGTCACTCAACCACCTGGCGCAGGCTGCGCGCGCCGTGCTGCAGAACACAGCGCAGATCAACCAGATGCTCAGCGACCTCAACCGCGTGGACTTCGCCAACGTGCAGGTGAGCGGGGGCGTGGCGCCGGGGCAGATGGGTGGGGCGGAGCCGGAGCCTGCGCCTGCGCCTGAGCCAGGACCCCGCCCGCCGTCCCCAGGAGCAGGCCTCGTGGGTGTGCCGCTGCGAGGACCGTGTGGTGCAGCGCCTGGAGCAGGACTTCAAGGTGACGCTGCAGCAGCAGAACTCGCTGGAGCAGTGGGCGGCCTGGCTGGACGGCGTCGTCAGCCAGGTGCTCAAGCCCTACCAGGGCAGCTCCGGCTTCCCCAAGGCTGCCAAACTCTTCCTCCTCAAGTGGTCCTTCTACAGGTGCGCGCCTGGCGGGAGGGGCGGGACCAGGGGAGGGCGCGAGGCGGTGCCCGGGGGGCACCTCCGTGGAGTGGGCGGGGCCAGGCAAGGTCGGCCTCCACGGCAGGGGCGTGGACCAGTGCCGGAATGGCTCCTCCCGGTAGTGGGTGGGGCCAAGGGAGGCCCCGCCTCCCCACGACAGGGGATGGGGAGGCTCTTGCTCGCTGTAGATGGGAGGTGCTCTGGGAGGCCGCGCCCCGGGAGACTCTGGCCCTCCGCGGTCTGGGACCGTCTCCCAGGGAAATCAGCGCTGCTCCCTGGCTGGGCTGATGGCTGTCCTTCCGCTGCAGCTCCATGGTGATCCGGGACCTGACCCTGCGCAGTGCCGCCAGCTTCGGCTCCTTCCACCTCATCCGGCTGCTGTATGACGAGTATATGTACTACCTGATCGAGCACCGCGTGGCGCAGGCCAAGGGCGAGACCCCGATCGCTGTCATGGGCGAGGTGCGCGGGGGCACGGGCGCGGGGGGCGCGGCGCTGCCGGCGGCTGGGCCTCACCTGCGCTCTCGTCCCCGCAGTTCGCCAACCTGGCCACCTCGCTGAATCCCCTAGACGCGGACAAAGGTAGGTGAGGTGGGTTCCCGGAGGGCCGGGTCACAGGGTGGTGGTCGGGCTGGGGTGTGGGCGCCGGCCCCGCGCTGAGCGCTGAGCGGCCTGATCCGTGTGCCCCAGACGAAGAGGAGGAGGAGGAGGAGGAGAGCGAGGACGAGCTGCCGCAAGACATCTCTCTGGCGACCGGGGGCGAGTCACCTGCGCTGGGCCCGGAGGCGTTGGAGCCGCCGGCCAAGCTGGCGCGCACGGACGCACGCGGCCTCTTCGTGCAGGCGCTGCCGTCCAGCTAAACTGCTGCGGGTGCCCGTGCCACCGGGCGGCACAATCACGGGGCCGGGGGCGCCGCTACTGCAGACTGACTCGATCCACGTGCCTTAAGGAACCCCGGTGCCCAGGCAGCCCGCCGGCCTGCCACCAGGTCGCAGCACCCTAGCCTGCCCCGCCAGCCCCCCGGGCAGCAGGCGGGCCCTCCCTGCAGAACGTTAACTTATTCTGCTCGCCGGCTTTGCACAGCTGCCCTGGCACCCGACCCCAGCGGGCAGCGCAGGGTCGCAGCCCGGGACCCCTCCCCAGCCCCCACTGCTTCTTCCCCTTGGTATAAGTGCAATTAAAGTTGTGGGCGTAGTGTCTTCTCCAGAGCTGGGCCCCCACCCCCTCCTCGCCCCACAACCTGAGAGAGGGCGGCCGGCCTCGGCCTCCCCATCCAAAGAAGCGAGGCTGTGGGGCGGAGGCGCCCGGCTCCGCTTAGAGGAGCTGGGGATGCCTGGCCCAGAGACCTGCGCTCCCGTCCGTGGACCCTGACTATTGTGCGATTTGTGAGCCGCCTCAGCGGAGTCGGTAACTTGTTGGGTTTTTTTCCAACCATCATGGCCTTATCTGTTCCAGTTTTCTCAGTGTTTTCAACCTGTGAGATAGATGTTTATGGCAAAAGAAAAAAAAAAAAAACAAAAAAATAGGAAAATCTAACCTATTGTATAAAATCACTATTTTGTGTGCTCCGCGTGTTACAGCTTTTGGGGTGGCCCTGCCCACTCCCCCAATGCCCACAGGGCCTCCCTCTCCCAGCGGTGAAAGTGTCCACGCGTGGTAGTTTAGTGTGCTGAGCTGTTTTCTACCTTTTTGTAGTCTTTCTTAAAACAATAAATTCCGCTGTGATAATTGTCTACTGCTGCCTCGCCGAACTTGGTGCAGGCTTTGGGGAAGGGGGTTCCGCAGCCCTGTGCTGCGCTGATAGGACCGCAGGCGGTTCGGAAATAAAGCATTTATTACATGAAGAGGGACAAAGTGGGGTGACCACGGGCTCCCCACCCGTGATGCAGTGAGGCTGGGTGGGCAGCGCGGGGGAGGGGCTGGGACCATTCGACTCCCCGAGGGTCCCACCAGCCCCTGTGCCCAGGAAAGGGGCAAATGCACAGGCTACGCCCGTCCGTGCGCACCACAGGAAGGCGGCCACTCCAGGCTATGGGGGTTAGTCTCCCCCTCTGCCCCTTCCCAACTTAAATAGGCATAAATAAAAAAAGCGTCCAGACTCTCCAGCTGCTGGGCTGGCCACTGAGCCCTTCCTGCAGCCCAACACTACTGCCATCGTCGTGGGCCACCAGCCGGGCGGAGGCCAGCACAGGGGCGGCCAGCGCCGGCCTCGGAGGTAGTTGGCGTCAGTGTCTGGGCAGCTGGGCCCTCACAGCACAATCCACGTGTACCGCTCACTGTCTGCCAGCACCTTCAGCGAGCACCCTGTTGGGGAGGGAGCCAGCCGTGAGCCCCTGCCTCACCACCCACCGCCGTGCAGGCTCAGGGGACAGGAGGTTCGAGAAGGTGGCACCCTGACTCGGCTTCCACCTCCAGCCCCCAGGCACAGGCTCTAGGGCCGCCTCACCCCTCCAGGTTCCCAAGCCCTACCTTTGTGCAGCGACTCGTTGGTCATCCTGTTGACGTAGCGGCCGCTGCTCTCAGGCACCAGCCACTTCATGACCATGTCCACGCAGCCCTTGCGGTATGAGCTCCAGACACTGCCGCTGCAGGGGCCGGGGAGGGAGTGGCTCTCACGGCCCTGCTGCCCGTCCCTGCAGGCCCATCCCTGCAGGCCCGTCCCTGCCCCGCCTGCCTCACCTCGTCTGCCCCTTGACCTCAGTGAGTTTGCCCACGCTGACCGTCTCGAAGATGCCGGTGTTGAGGTCCCAGGCCACCTTGAGGCTGGTGTGATAGGTCTTTGGTCTGCAGCACGGGTGTGGGGGAGACAGGACAGGCAGGTTGCCAGTGGGGCCAGTGTGAGGACCTAGGCTTCAGCAATGGTGGGGTCTGTCATGGAGGGTCCCCACCCACTCACCGGAGCTGGCCCTCCTCAGTGGGGGAAGGGAAGGCCAGGAGCAGCAAGCCGATATTGATGAGGACCTGGTTGGTCTCTGGGCAGACCTGGGTATGCACAGATCAGCTATGGAGGTTGACCCTCAGCACAGGAGGGTGACCCCTGGCTCGGGCAGTTCTGCCCACCCACCCCACCTCCAGAATGACGATGTCGTAGTCACTGAAAGAGCAGAACTGGTGGCCCCAGGTGGCATCGTGGCGGATGACCTCGTTGATGACATACTCGAAATCCAACGTAAGCTGCTCCACCGTCAGGTACTGGCTCTGGGCAAGGCAGATGGGAGGGGACAATGATGCCACCACCATGGCATACCCAATGCCCTCGCCTTTCCAGCACCTTCCCAGCAGCCCACACACCTGGACAGCAGTCTGCTCCCGCATGGGACGCAGGTTGCGGCCTCGGAGATCGGTCACCACGAAGGGCAGGGAGATCTTGTCATCCTCGAATTCTGCGGAGGCAGGAGGTGGGGTGTAGGGGAGGTGGGGACCCCAGGGCCTCTCGGCCTCCCTGCTCCAGGCCCTGCTCACTCACTCACCATCCTCGGGCTCTGTCCCTTCGCTGGACTCCAGCACATAATATAACTTGGTGTAGTTGACATAGCCAGGCTCTGGGGCAGGCGCCAGGGTGGGACTGTCCCTAGCCACCGCCTCACTACAGAGGCTTGGTGGCTCTGAGGATGAGCGGCAACGGCTGCCTGAGGGCCCAGGGCACGGGGGCGGCCGGGTGTCCTCAGAGGTCCCACCCTTGGCCTCCTTGGCCCTGCGGAAGATGTCGGCCACGAACTCCTTGGCTCTGGCGATGGCGGGGGAGGGCTCAGAGGCCCCAGAGGACCGGGCTGGGGCTGCCTCGGGGTAGAGGTTGGGGAGAGTGGGGGGTGCCTCTGGGCTGTGGGGCTCTGGGGGGCTGGGCGGGGGTGGCGGGGACGCTGTGTGGTCATACAGGATCTGACAGAAGCCACTGTCACCTGCAACAGGAGAGACGGAGACTCAGGACTGGGCTTCAGTGCAGAACGAGCTGACCTACATCCCGGCCCCCACGGAGGCCTAGCCTCCGCCCCGAGGGTGACTTTCCAGATCGCAGACCGAGATCTGTGCAAAACCCCAGGGTGGGAGGGCAACACACGTGTGCGCTCGAACAGGCGCAGGCGTATTTATCCAGCCCTCTTTTTTTTCGTCCTGGGAACTGAACCCAGGGCTTTCACGCCAAGCTACACCCCCAGCTCTTTTTTTATTTTGTATGTTTTTTTAGTTTTGAGACAAAGTCTCACTAGGTTGAACCACTAAGTTACCCAGGCTAGGCTGGGACTTGGCGATCCTCCTACTTGAGGCTACCAGAGCGCTGGGATGACAGGTGTGCACCACCATGCCCGGCTCGGACCTCAGCCTGGAGCATCTGCGGTGTTCCACAGTGAGGACCGAGGCCTGAAGGAGACACCCAGAGACCCCAGCCCCGGGCCGCTGTCAAGTGGGAGCAGGGATTTATGAAGCCCACAGCAGGAAGCTGCAGTTCACCAGCCAGGCAGCCAGTGCTGCGCCCGGAAGCAGCCCTCTGGGAAGAGTCCCCCAGGGTGCGAGTTCAGCACCGCTGGCCAGGACTACCCTTGTCCAGACCTAGCGCTGAATCATCGACAGGCTTTCCTGACGGCACCCACAGCCCAGAGAGCAGGGCCTCCTCCTCCACAGCCCCGGCACAAAGGGGCTCGCTCAGTCTCAGGCTCAGTTACATACACTGACACTGCCCTTCATCCCCTCTCCCCAGGAGCAGCCATCTTAATGGGTATTTACATGGATACATTTTGCTGGGTGTGGTGGTGCACACCTGTAATCCCAGCTACTTGGGAGGCTGAGGCAGGAGGACTGCAAGTTCAAGCCCAGAGCAGGGAAATGAAGCAACTCAGTGAGATCCTGTCTCAAAGTAGAAAGTAAGAAAGACCTGTGGGTGTAGCTTAGTGTGAAGGCACTGGTTCTGATTCAATCTACAGTTCCGCCAAAAAAAAAAAAAAAAGATGTTTTGATGTGGTCAAGTTCGTACAAAATTAAGATGCAGATTTACTATATATGTGGCTGAATCTGGTTGTGGATGGCCTTGGTTCCTGTCTGCACAGCTCCGCCATCCACGCTGTGGCACGCCCTGTGGGATTCCCACTAGTGACTAACAGGACTCCCTGGCCACCTCCTACCTCCCTGGTTTCCAGGGGAGGACACCAGGTGGTCCCAACTCTCCCTCCCTGGCTGAGACTCAGGGGACCCCACCCCAGCCCATGGCATCCACCTGGATCCTCACACATTGCTCTGTTGCACCTTATGACTTTCACTCACATTTCTCCGACACTAGAGCTGTGTAATAGTAGCGTGTCCATGTACAGTTCCCTGAGACAGCCACTTGAGGCCTGATAACACCTGGACAATGAGGGATATTTATGCGGCAGTGTCAGCCACACACCGTCCAGCTCGAGTGCAGGAGGCTGCTCAGTACCAGCGTCCCACAATGGACTCTCGGAACTTGAGCCATGACTGCTGCGTTAGCTTCTCTTTCTTCCTTGCTTCTCTTTCTCCCCCGACCCCAGTGCTGGGGATGAATCCCAGGGCCTCACGCATGCAGACACGTGCACTACAACGGAGCTGCACCCCAGCCTCCAGCTTCTGTCTGTCTGCTTTTCTGCTGTATTGGGGATTGAACCCAGGGCTTTTGGACTGAGCTACATCCCATCCTCGGTCCTTTTTTTATTTTTAACTTTGAGACAGGGTCTTGCTGACTTACCCCCCAGGCTGGGCTTGAACTTAGCATCCTCCTGCCTCAGTGTCCCAGAGTGCTGGGATTACAGGTGTGCACCACTGTGCCCAGCTTGGATCTCTAACCTAGAGTATCTTTCAATACATTTGGTCACCCCGAAATAACTTGTAGATTACAGTCCTAACCTTATCCCCAAAGTCTGCCAAGAAATATCTCACTTTCATTATTATTTTTACATTGCTCCGATATATCAATAGTCTGCAAACAAAAGCCATTGTTCTCTATACAGCATTGTTTCTAGTAGCAGCACTCCCATTTACAAAATATCATAATTTTTAATACACACACACCCGCCCACTACTTCTCAGTCACTGAGAATTAAATGAATGCTGGCAGCAAGCTGCACTGTTTTCTTCTAAATAAACAGGAAATGGGCTTACGGGACAGCACTGCTCTGCTATTCCAGCCAGGTAGCTGCTAGCCCCATGTGGCTACATAAACTAAAGGTAACTACAATGACATACAATTGGAATCTCGGCTCCCGGGTCACGTGAGCCCCATCACAGTGCCCACTGGATGCCTCGGGGGACCCACAGCCAGGGGACAGAGCCTCCCCTGGGCCAGGCGTGGGCCAGGCCTACCTGCTGCATGCACGGAGACGGCGCAGGCCACCAGGGAGTAGCTGGTGTTCAGCAGCACCACCTGGTCTTTCTTGAGCTGGAAGGCGGGCTGGAAGGTAGGGAACGGGTAGACCACCTGGTACTTGGTGTGCAGCATGAAGCCGTGTCGCAGGCACTGTGCGCTCGGGTCCCCTGGGTGCGCCCGGCTGGCGTCCAGGCAGGCAGCACAGCGGCCAGGCGGCGGCACAGCCACCGTGCTGATGTAGATGTCCCGGTGGTTCTCGTCGCTCATCATCATCATGTTCATGAGCATGCCGTTGGGTGAGCGCGTGCTGGGGGCCAACGTAGTCTGCTCAGTCACGGCGGGCCTGGCCACGGGCCCACACCCCCTCTGCCCGCCTGCCCCCGCCCCCCGCCTCACTTGAAGCCAAAGACGATGACCTTGGAGGAGTCGCTGGGCCACTCACACACGGTTAGGTACAGGTCGCTGTAGATCTCCTCATCCTGGAAGAGCCGCACCTGTCGGACCTGAACAGCCATGCAAGAGTTCAGGGTCAAAGGTCAGAAGGAACCCAAGCCAGTGGAGCACCCCGCAGCCTTCCCCCAGCTCAGGCAGGCAGCATCCTTCACAGAGGGAAACGGAGGCCAGTCTGGGACAGGACACAGCCAATGGGATCCCTGCAGGTGGAGGGGCCCTGGCGGGGTGTGCTGGCTGTAAGTCCCGCTCCCCTTGGTGGAACTTGGTACTGCTGTAGGCCCCAGTGTGAACAGAGATACAGCATCCAGCAGAGGTAGGGCGAGAGGTCAAGGGTCAAAGCTAAAGCCAGGGCAACAACCTGTATGGTCCTCATAGAGCTGTCTGCTACTTAACCCATGATGAGGACATCACAGACTTTCTTTTTTTTTCTTTTCTTGGGCAGTGCTTGGGGCGAAACCTAGGCCTTCACACTGAACTCTTCTCACCCCTTTTTCCATTTTATTTTGAGATCAGATCTTGCTAACTCACTCATTTATCCAGACTGGGTTCAGACTTGCTATTCTCCTCCTGCCTCAACCTCCCAGATAGCATAGACTTTCAGTGCTAAGTTGAACCTAGTGAAACTGCTACTATGTACCCATCCGGCAACTTCATATGGTCCAACCTAACAGCCTGGGATATTCCACCCAAGGGAGGGTCTGAGGCTTGCGGGGTTAAGGCCTGCCTGGGGCTACCGTGAGCCTCAGGAAGGCCTGGCCCTACCAGCTTCAGCTTGCTGTGTACGTTGAACTCCCACCAGTAGAGGTGGTAGATGTAGAAGGAGAAGTCGTCATCCCCGCTGCTGCTCGTGTAGGACAGCACATAGCGGCCACACTTGGAAAAGCCCAGGAAGATGTGCCTGTGAGACGCGTGGGCCAGGTCAGGGCAAGCCCCAGACACCTGCCCACCCCCGACCACGCGGCTGTCCCGGCCTCACCCCGCGTAGAGGAAATCCTCATCTACGATGTTCTTAAGCGACACGCAGACCCTCGGTGGCAGCTTCCGGAAGAGGCGAGGAGAGAGCTGCCCGCTGATCTAGGAAGGGGTGGCTGGGCTCCTCAGGCACCTATCCTGGGGGCCGCCTGCAGCCCCCAGCCCCTCACCACACAGAGAGGGACAGCAGCGTGCACCAGGCAGCCGGCCCGGCACACAGGCCAGCTCCCTGCCCACCACCACGGCCCCAATGGTCCCAGCTATGGCTGGAGGAACAAGTGGGGCAGACAGGAGACACGGATCCCGGGCAGACCACCGTTCACCAGCGACTCACACCCTGCAGCCTCAGGATCCCTCCTGCCCAAGCCCAGCATCCCCTCCATCAGGATGGTGCCTCAGAAACCTATCCCATACTGGGCCACCCGAGTCTCTTCCTGAAAGCTACTACGGGCCACTATGCTGTGAGTGTCCTTTACCCAAAGGAGGCTGGGATCAGGACTATGTTCTCACCTGTCCCCAAACCCTAGCCTATAAAAGATCCCTTGGGGCAGATCTGGTCTTAGCGGGACCTCACTGCGTCCCAGCCAGTGACTCAATTCCTGCCTGATTCCCCCTTCTCAATTAGCTGTCACCTACCAACAGACTCCTACATCCCAAAAATGCCACCACAGAAGGACCTCCCGTCGCGACACCCTGGGTATCAGAGCCACCTGTCTCGCTACCTTGGCAGATGGGAGACTGTCCTGCCTTGGATCTGATGGGAAGCAGTCCTGTCCAGAAGGCTCCCTGACCGAGGGGACAGGGCCGCCGGTCCTCAGGGACATCCCAGTCTGATGAGGACACAGCCCTGTCAGGGAGCCTTGACGGATGGGAGAGACATAATCCCTGCCCAGCCAGCTCCCAGGCTGAGGGCAGAGACTACTCAGTGCGGTCTCCTCTGATGGGGGAGGCTCAGCCATGCCCTCACCAGGATGCAGGCCTCGCAGAGGAGGCTCGATCCCCGTCCAAGGAAACAGCCTTGCCCCAACTGCTGCCCCGCCAGCAGGGGACTCCGACCGGAGCCCCTCACCCAGCTCCCCACCGATCGGGGGAGACATCCGCGGGTTATGGGGCTGATGAAGGAGACAGCCCGTATCGGGGACGACCTGGCGCTCTCCGGAAAGACCCTTCCATTCAATGGGAGAGGCAACCCGGGCACAGGACCTGCAGGTCCAGGGGCGGTCGGAGAAGCCCAAAGCCGGTGGGCTTTGCAAAGGCGGCGGGAAAGCGACATCGCCGAGGGACCAGGGGAGCAGGGCTTTGAAAACCGGGTCCTAACCCGGATCGCCGCCCTCCTCCTTATCCCTCAGCGGCTCGGGGGTCCCCTCGCCTCGAGCCCTCTCCCTGGGTCCCGCGCCGGTCCCCGCGGCCCCGAGCGGCCCTC